TAATGAACACCTGCACTTTACTTACATAAAATAAAATAAGATAATAAAATGAGCCACACAGCCCCCAAGCACTTCTAGTCAGGCTTATATCATCATTCCCTCAAAGCTGTGTTTAATAAGATGTTAAAATGTGACCTTCATGTGTAGTTATTGTCTGTGTGAGAGCTGTTTGGAGAGTTATTAACGGCGTACAAAAGTCAATGTTTGGATTCTGTGAAACAAGTTAGACTCATAGAACATTAGATATTTGATTCATATGTTATATATCTGATTTTTTCTCCAACTTAATTAAAACAAAAAAACAAAAGAAATTCAAACTAACAGTCAGTTCTTAGATATTTATGAATCTGATTAATTAAGTGAACAGGGACATCCACTGAAAGTTACATATTATTTTACAAATGAATGTACAGTACAAGCTGTGTATTACATACATGAATGATGTCTCAGTTATAGTAAACAGAGCACAACTTGAGCTTAAGCAGTCTCCAGTACTAGTTGGTTGAAGTTATGAGTCATCCTTAAACCTTCCCTGACACAATAACAACCTCTTTAAGGGCAGGAAGTACTTTATTTGAAAATAGACTATTGATGAATAATTTCAGACCAACCTTTCCAAAGTGGATGTAGAACATGTTGAGATCACACTCTTCCTGCAGAGGAGGACGATGATCTAAATTTAATACACTTCTAGGTCACAGCAAACTGGTTAAGCTGTTGGGGAAATGACAACCAGAACATGTGTTTAACATCTGCAGGTTCCTGTTGAAGTATTTTATTTTCTCTACATTTAGGGTCTGAGCATTAATAAACCTGATCTGACTTGCCTTCAGTTCTGTATAATTTTCTGGTGACACTTCTGCCCTAGTTTTTATTTATTCACTTCCAGTATTTGTTTATCTTTTTTAATCTTTTTATATTTTATTTTATTTAATTGTTGATCTTTTAACTGCCCACCTTTACTTTACTTGTTATATTTGTAGTATATTTGTCTAAATGTGGCTTTTCCTATGTAAGCACCTTCTAACTATGTTTTGAGAGGTGCTGTAATAATAATAATAATAATAATACAGAGCAATAATGATAAAAAGAGTGTATGATTAAAAGCCCTTTTTAAAAAGTTTTAACAAAATGTATATTTGTTATATTTCCTTTGCTATGGCTTATATATGTTTTTATATAATAGAGTTCCCTTTTTTCTTTTATTATATTTTTTATTTATATTAAATATATTATTTTTTATATATTATTAGTTTTCTTTCTATGAAATCAACACAATATATACATGTATCTAATTCAAATATTCCCACTTTTCATTAGATCCTAGATCTGAAAGAAGATGAACAAATAATATAAATTTAAATAATCCAGTGCATAAATATAATGTTGTTTTTAAATGAGTAACTTACTCGCTGTAACAGTCGGGAAACGCAAGAGGAAGCATAGATCAGGCTGAACCACATTACAACTATCAGCAGTCTTTACTGCCATCTAGTGGCTGCTGCAGGGAGGTACAGCACAGAGGAGCAACATCTCTCTGTTTAGATTCAAGTCTCCTCAGAGTAAATATAAGTTATAGACATGTCACTGCAGAATGGTTTAACTCTGTTCTCACATAATTATTTTTACTTTTCCTGTTTCAGTTTTTCTTTTTCTTATTTTGTCATTCTCTGACTCCCGCTCCGGAGGCAAGAGGCTGGTTGTACATAAAGGCCAGAATATACTGTAACTTCAATGTACAAACATTTTCACACTAAATATAAGCAGAATAAAAAAAAAAAAAAAAAAAAAAAAAAGGGGGGGAAGAAAAATATATACTTCTTATTAATTCTTATCTTAAAATATGTAAGAAAGCTGGAAAAAAAAAAAGAAAAATATTTTCCTTTTTTTTTTCCCCTGGCTCTGTAAAAAATGTGAGAAGCATGTCAGTAGAGTAAATCAAATACATGAACTTTCAGGAGCAGGTTTTTTTTTAGCGTGCACGGGCTAAAGTTGCCCGAGTAGAAAATTGACCTCTTTGCTCTCAGGAAAAAAATAAATCATTTTATTTTTGCTGTTGTAGAAACACAAGTAGCTAATTATCTTGCACGTAGCCTGTAGCATGATATAAGGCAATATTGTGCAGTGTGATGCAGACGTGACAAGCTGCATGCTGAAATGCTTAATCATTTCCAGAACTTATAACACAACAGCAGCAGTACCAAGTTTGTGGGGAAGTTACTACTTAAACATCAATAGAAGCCGCAAAATCAACACATCCACAGTGCAAATACTTGTATATATATCAAGAAAACACAGGACCCTGCAGCAGGAGTAAGAGAAGTGCAGACATGAAGCAACATTTGATTTGATAAAGCTGGACAGACTATTGAATGTGTGAGGGGGTCAAAGAGGAACGTCAGTGTCAAACAGATGTTTAACCTTCCTTGACAGATGTGTCAGTTGTAAATGAGGAAATGATTCCAGCCACTGCGGCCTCGAGCTCGACATTGCTGCTCCTGTAAATGGTAGTTTCACACTACAGTGATACAGCGGAGGCAATTGTTCTGTAATGCAGCGAACACAGAGAACACATAGTCGAAACCTTATGATAGAGATATCTATATCTGTCTCATGTTCTCGTGTTTCAACTCCAATTTATATTTGTATTATTGTTTACAGTAGATAACATAGCTGCACTCATTCTTTATACTAAACATACATACTCCATATGGGTTTATTTTTGTATATTCATCTATATTTTCTGTGTATCTTTTGGCTCTTTACACTGGTTGGATAATAAACAGGATTTTTTGGGGTTGTTTTGCAGCACCCTGTAGTCCTTCAGAATCCATTTGTAGTCATTTGGGTCTCATTGTAGTTTTTTTTGCACATTTGTGTCTCTTTATGCTCATTGTGGTCTTTTTGTAGTTGTTTTTGTTCTCATTGTGGTCTTTTTGTAATTGTTTTTGTTCTCATTGTGGTCTTTTTGTAGTTGTTTTTGTTCATTGTGGTCTTTTTGCATCTTTTCATAGTCATTTTGGATCTATGTGGCCTTTTTTGCATCTTTTTGTAGTCGTGTTGACTTTAGATGTTGTTTTGCGTCTCTTCGTGGTCATTTTGTGTCTCTTTGTAGTTGTTTTGTGTCTCTCTGTAGTCACTTTGGATCTCTTTGTAGTGTTTTTGCATCTTTTTCTAGTTGTTTTGTGTCTCTGTGTTGTCTTTTTGTGTCTGTAGTCGTTTTGTGGCTCTTTGCAGTCGTCCTGATCAAACACAGCCTCTGGGCCTGTGCCAGGTGGACCAGTTCAATAATACATCCACGCACATGCAAACACAATATAATGTACAAACACACATGCACTGGCCAGCAGTATTTACAGATCTGTACTCCCACGTACATCACACAGAGCACAGAGGTTTAAAGCAGGCAATCTATTATAGTCCAGTTGCTAACTTCTTACTCATTCTGTGTAACCTCCACTCTTTGATTATTTGATTATTATTTTGTTCCTTCTTCTGTGATATTGTTTAAAAAGTCACCAAATTCCAAGCATTTGATATCCAAATTGGTAGATCAGTGTCTGACAATCAGTCGTAGGGTTCACTTTGGTACAGACTGAAATACCTCAACAGCTAATGGATGGATTGGCACAGATTTCGCTACAGACAACGACTCTACATCTGGCAGCACCAACAAGTGGACAATCTGGGCTCAAAGTGAAATGCCGGGACAAATATTTGATGGATTTCCATTAAAAATGTACCTCTATGTTCCACAAACTATTAATTGTAGGCAATGTCCGATACCACCACTTATTTACTACAGAGTCACCAACAGGGGAAAAAAAGGTTTTAATTTTTTACAAACCCCAAAATGCAAAGCATTGTATTCGCATTGTATTCATTGTATACACCCATAGCCTACATAAATATATATTATTTACAATTAATCTAGTTGAAATGCTGATGTTTCACAATTGTTCTAAATCTCAATTTACTGCTCACTAGAGCAAGTCTCAAACTGAAATTACATGCAGGTCACTGGCCACGTTGCAGAGTGCCTATAGGGGACTGCTTGAACACTCGGCTGTCCAAATGAATAAATTAATCAATAGAATAAAAAAAAGCTAAAGTGCATCTCTATGAAAAACTATTTTCTTATGCTCTGAATTTGCAGTCTTGCCAAATTTTGAAATGATTATTCTAATGATCGCTCTACTCTAAAGACCGGGACAAACTCTAATTCAGGAAAAAAAAAAACATCTGCGGCCGGATGACACAACACATAATACATGCCTAAATGTGCTTTTTGAGAGTAAACTACTGGCCAGTGGTTTACAACCTTTTTGGTGCCAAGGACCCCCAAATTGATACACATGAGGCCGTGGACGCATCTGATTATTTCATAACTGTGTGGAACGAATGAACATACATTCTCTCATTGGGCTAATTTTCAGCCAATTAAATAATAGTGAAAATAAAATATTTATTTGGGGACCACCCTCACGGACCCCTGGGGGTCCCTGAACCCGAGGCGGAGAACCACTGTATTAGGCAAGACTAGTGAGTCAACGAGAGATCAGACATAGAGTGTCTATTTTTTAATATAATTGTATGATAAAACTCACATAAAGCCAGGTATGCAGATAACGTTACAGTAGAGATGAAACATTGGGTTGATGGTGGACTGTGTGTTCAGGGTGTTGCAGTGGTTGTGTAGGTGTGTGGTGGGAGAGAAACAGACCTGCTTGTTATAAAGCATGAACGCCTGTAACAAAAAAAATAATAAAATAAAAAGGAGAAAAAAGGAGAAAAAGAGAAAAAGAAAATCAGTGTAACCCACACAAAGCTGTGTCAGCTGACACGATGGTGAACTCAGATACGACAGCAGCGGGCCTCATGGAGACAGTTGCCGTGGAGACCGGCGCACGTCATCTTGTAGCGGTTGCCATGGCCCGCCTGACGTCAAAGCCCCTCGCAAGATGCTCAGGAAACCCCCTGGCGCGGTCACCATGGATACCGGCGGGGGGAGGGGTGGGGTTTAGAGGAAGCGGAAGTGTCAGAGCAGGCGGAAGTGGTACTGCCCTGAATACCCTGAGCAGCGAGCGGAGGACGGCTTGATAAACTCCCATCGTTCAGAGAATAAAATCGGGATTCCTTGTACGCTCTAAATGTGAGTTCACCTGCATATCACTCGATTATTGTCTTATGTACGTGGTGGGGAGGGTCTTTCGCCGGTGGGTGGGGGGGGAGCGGTCCCAGCGGTGGCCCCGTTCCCCTGCCTCTGCGGCGGAAGGTGCCTATTGTGGTTAGGGGCTGAATTTTTAGGCCGAGACTTTGTGGCCCCCGAACGGCGAGAAATAACCCGCAAAACGCCCCGCCGGGGTGTCGCCTGGGCTCGGTGTGCTGTCGAGTGGGGGCCACGGATCGTTCAATTTCAAGGCCTGCACTCCGGTCGATGCCATGCGTGGTGCGCGGTGACCGTGTAAAAGGGGGGGGAGGGAGGGAGGAGAGAGAGAAGCACCCAAGTTTGGCCATTTTGACAGCTTAACGGCCGATGGGGGCCGATGAGGGCCAGGCCGCCGTCGGAGCAGGCCAGTGCTAAGTAGCGCTACACCGTCTGTGTGGTTGGTGTAAGAGCTAATAACGCCACCGAGCCGCCGCCGCCGCTGCTCCACCCGGACGGCCGCTACATGTAGCCTCATTATTGATCACAGAGCGGCGTTAATCGGCGATGTCTTTAGCTCCAGATCCGCCATGGCGTCCGTTAGAGAGACGATGTGGATGCTAACGCACCCTCCCTGTTTCCCGGGAGTTTCCCCGCAAAATGCGACTGCTTTTTTTTTTTTTTTTTTCCGCCTTTTTATATTTATAAATAAATATATATATATTAAAAAAAATAAAACATTCCCCCTTTTTCCGGTAGCATTGAGCTACCGGCGGACAGATGTGAACAGATGCCGTGTTTAACCCCCGGAGCTCGGGGGGGGTCTGCATTGTACCGCCGTTCACATTCAACTGGGTCAGCTCCTGCTAGCAGCTAAGCTAACCGCTAATGGCCGGGCCGTGGCGTTCAGTTAGCATGCTAGCCTAGTTAGCTGGCTAGGCTAGGCTAGGCTAGCTGGCGGTAATCTATCTCTCCATCTTAAAATTCCGCAGGGGAATGCGACAAGGAGGGCGTAGCTGTTAGCAGGCCGACTGGACGCCCCAAAGCCCAAGTGTTCTCGGTTCTGGACGGGTGTTTTTTTTTTTATTATTTTTGTAACCCCAACAACGTTTGGTCGCTGTTTTTTTTATTTTTTAATTAATCTGCTCCGAGCGGTTGAAGATGGTGTCCCCCCCCCATTTTCCTCCGTGCGCATAATAAAGCCTGTTAACCTTTTTAATAGTTAGCTCGGTGGTTGGGTAACAGGCGCTGCTAAGTGTTGGGTGTGTTGGTGCCGTGCCAGATGATCGGAGCCGACCGAAGAGGCCCGGTTGGATCAGTTTTTAACCGATGTTCAGGTCGCTGCTGCGGCGGCCCCGTTAATGCCGCTTTTAGCCGTTATAAGCGGCATTTTAACCCGATGCTAAATGCTAATTCGAGGATGCTAAAATGAAACCGATTAGCCTCGAAGGCATAACACGGTTGTCGACATGACAGCACTGCGTGATTGCCACATGCGTTAATCCCGAAGGAAAGCTATACGTTTACTTTTTTAAAAACATGTAAAAAAATGTACTTAAACTGCACATTTACCCGCTTTTGCTTATTTATTTCAAATTCATTGTTCTATTGAAAAATGAAATCAACGACCATGTTAAAGGCATGTCAATATATACATTTGTTTGTGTTTTTTTTTACAGGATTTCAGTTAATTTAATCGTGACAAATTATATGTAGCTGAAGATGAGAAAAAAAAATAGGTCTGACGATAGAAATAATGTCCAGGTGATATTAAATGTTAAGGTAGTGAAATCCATTAAAGTATAGCCATCCTTTTTTTTACAATCATTCATTATCATTGCTTTTTCATGAGCATGGTGTTTCCATACACAATAAAACACAACGTGTCTATGGTTGTATTATGTTAAGAGTGTGGCATATAATCCCCCCCCCCTTTTTAAAAGTAAAAAAAAGGCAGATTTTTGGCAGTAGTGAATAAACCACCTTGCACCAATGCCTTACAGTTTCACAGAATAATGCAATGAGTTATTAAAAGGTTCTGCTGACAAATAAAATCCCTCACCTCTCCCTGAAGTAAAAGGGCTGCAACAAAAAATGTTATTGCTGATTAATCAGTACATTATTTTAATAGTTTGGTCTATAAAATGTAAGAAAATGGTGATAAATGCCCCTTAGAATTTCCCAGCATATAATAATAAACCCAAATAGCTTATTTTGTGCAGCCATGGCCAACTATTCAGATACTAATTATATGTCATAAGTCAAGGAAAGCCAGTAAATACTCAGGTGTTTGGCTTTTTTTTTCTTGAAATTAATAATTGGTCATCAAAAAGTTGATGAAATTCCTGCTAATTGACGTAATCAATATGCCTAAACTGACTAATGTTTAAAAAAATGTACAAGACGTTTTAAAGTATTGCTTGTATCATTTTACACTAAATGTTTATTTCGGAGTTGTTAAATCCATTAAGTAAACGCCACCTTTCCCATAATCCATATTATAACTGGTTTGGCATTTTAATGCAAAATACGATTATTTGAATGATTATCAAAATGTGAATAAAAGGTGGTGCTAAACGGACCATGTGGTGATGCCAACGTTGGTGATTTGGCTAACACAGCAAAATCAGATTTCCCTTATGTCAACATCAACACTGGTGAATGTAGAGGGAGTTGTAATAATGGAGGAAATGGCTGGGTTTCTGAATGTATAATGATCCCATACACTAATGGTCTCTGTGTTGTTTTTTTGGTAATCAAATGGAACTGCACTCAATATCAGCAGATAATTGATTTTACGATTGTGCCATTGTTGCGCTTCCAGCTGAGGCTAATAATTACTCTGCAGGCCACAGTGCGTTATAATGGAAGCAGGATCAAACTTTTGTGACCCTACCGTGTACAATATTTTCATTCGGGTGTAAAGTCTTAAGTTATACCGTTGCTCCCCATTATTCCAACAGTCTCATATTAAATTAAATAAGTTTAAAAAGAACAAATTATAATTGGGTATAGTGATTTGGTCAAAAAACATTTCTAAGATTGAAGTACACAGAATGAAATTAGTTTGACAGTCAAATATTTACATACTTTTAGAACAAATACAAAGAACACATTTTTTTGTCAATCAAGTCAACATTGATTGGAAATTGCTTGCATAGAATGAAGGTGTAACAAAATAGTGAACCGTATGGATTCTCCGTAATGGTGTGCTTTTTCAAGATCACAATAGTAATACATTACTATATCATGATTTAGTAAATTTTCTGGAAAATCAATTAATTGTTGATGCATAATGTACAGACAAAAATCATATCTCTGTAAAGCACGCCTGCTCGTTGGATAACAACATTGCCAACGGGCTGATACAACCAGAGATATGAAAGCAGGAAATACAGCGCTATAAATAATACAGTTAAATCTCTCACCGTTGACATATTTATTTATTGACTTGTAGATATTGTAATATTTATCTGTAGCTCAGAAGCATTACATTGATTAAGCAGTGGTTTTACACATTGGGGAAACCATTCTGCACATTTATCTGACACCATGAATTAAATGGAAGATAACATCAGAGCCAGAATTGAACCGCCTTTTTTGAATGGTATTTGGTACACTTAACACTAAATAGGGAGAACATTATTCGCCATCTGGTCATGGATGCCATCTGGTGGTCTGAGGTGAACTTCATGATGTACATTTCATATGCACAAAGGCGGATCTACAGAAATATTCATGGGGTGGCCAGAGGGTGGCGTGGAGAAATATGCTGATTTGATCTCCCTGCAAACAATCACATATCAATATTTATTTAGAAATTCTAAAATGGACGACTACATTATTGTGGCACATTAGTAAAGCATTGAATATAAATATCTAAAGGTGGCATTCGCACACAAAATCCAAGTCTTGAAGACATTTGACTAAATTCATGTCTTTATTCATTGAACTAAAACATATCATTCAGTCTAAAATGTGTCCAGAACAGATAATTAAATTGATTTCCCTTTTTAACTTATTACCATACATACAATATAACCAACATGAAAACCCCTAAAAGTAGTAAATGGATAATTTTGAGTGAATGTTTTCAGCCCAAATATCCTTTTGGAGTACATATCAATAATATGAAAAAACAGGAAAACATATGGCACACCTGTAAATATTCCCACAAAGGGCTTCTCCGTGTGATTTAGAGCACTAGTGAGGGAGGCCACCAGGAGGGTTATAGCAGCTCTGAAGGAGGAGGAACAACTAATGACCGGTGCCTTACCAGTTAAACTTAACAGCAGAGTCGGCCTTTAAAAGAGAAATCAAGGAACTGTATCATTATACAACACATGGTTGTATAATGAAAGATCATAGTTCCTTTAAGCTATTCACATAAAAAGATAATAAAATGTATAGAATAACCTAAAATAAAACCAATTTATACAGTTATTTATGTACGTAAACATACACGTATACACAGGAAATAACTGCAGTGCATCTTTCGAATTGGCGTGTGGGGGATGGGAATGGCAGATGGTGACGGTAATATAGTTTCATCTTTACATTAAAAGAAAGTGTCCATCCACTTTGACTACATTTGAGCACCAAGTATCATCAATGGACAGTGTCCCGTTTCGTGCAGACCGGATATTAGCCAGGAGCAGCCTTAAATCCAAGCTGGGCCAGCATGGCACCTATCCGGCTGTCTTCCTCGAGTGACGGCACCTGCTGTTGCGGGCTGGTCCTGCTGATCTGGCTGGGTAGATCGTCTGAAAAACAGATTACAACAGAAGTTTGAAGGAGCTAGCCTAGCGGCTGCAGCATCTTTTTCCACTATTGCCATAGTAAAACTCTCTTGATCCAGTCGATTTGAACAATTTTGGCATAGTCCTTCAGTGTCTGCAAGAGGCTGATACGGACATTTCCAGATAACTTAAAAAAAGGTGCTTTTACTAAATGTTGACTTGAAGGGGTTGAATACTTAAAACGGTAGATAGATTTGGTATCAACAAAGCCTATTTACATCTGCTGTTCATATTTTGACACCTTTTGGAATTGATGATTGATCAATATTATTGAATTTTTAGCCTTTGCACTTTTGCTGCTCCTGTAACCCCCAAATGCCAGACCACAAGCTATTTATTCTTTGTGGACTAACTGAAGTTACTAGTTGATATTTGGTGTTCATCGTAGCATTAATTAACTAGGGTCAGACTGGAGACCATCACTGAAACAATTGTAGTTTAATCTGCCGCCATAATCTACTGGAAAAATCCAAATACTTTAACAGCTTTGGTTGAAAACCCAGATAAAACTGATACATGGAAACAAAGCGTTCAAGAAAGGATTAAAGTAATTAAGTTGAGCATGCGAACCGGGAAGTTATCACACTTGGTCCTGTGCAGATGTGAGGGTAAAGCTGGACTCTGGTGTATATGTATTAACACATTTAACTTCTAGTGTGATCACGTGTTAGTTTATTCTTTAGTTTTAACATAGAAATAAGGCATTTGCAAGTTATTGAAATAAATTAGATATGTTTAAAGCTGGTTACAGCCCACAGTGGAGAGTTTATAGTGTAATTTGTAGATGTAAAGGATATGGAGGCGAGGCTGTGGCCTACTTAGACCTACAGATTCATCTGGAGAGTGGAAACCCCCCGGGGATGAAGTAACTGGGAGCAGTTTGAATTAAAAGGGTTTTTGACATTGTATAAAGCACTGTTAGGTCTTTGCTGGAATATTTTGTTTGGTACTTCTTTGTACGTTCACCCTTCCATCAATTATTGTCTGCTTATCCGGGTTTGGGTCGTGGTGGTAGCAGGTCAAGCAGGGGGCTCCAGACATCCCTTTCTTCAGCAACACCTTCTAGCTCCTCCTGGCAGTTCCCAAGGCGTTCCCATTCCACATGAGATGTATAATCATATGTAATATCACAGGACTTCAGATCTTGCGCACCCGTATTTCTACTCTTTCTATTGTTCGCGGTGCCTATCTCTATACTTTCCCTGTCAGCCTTCCTGTTCCAGCTGGTAAATGAAAAGCCTCAATGTTGGAAGCACTGAGACATTAACTCTGTCTGTCTGTCCCTTGTTCTTCCTCCTGCAGCCTCAAAATGGATAAGAACGACCTGGTGCAGAAAGCCAAGCTGGCAGAGCAGGCCGAGCGCTATGACGACATGGCGGCTGCCATGAAGGCCGTGACAGAGCAGGGCTCGGAGCTCAGCAACGAGGAGCGCAACCTGCTCTCTGTCGCCTACAAGAACGTGGTATGGCATCCAATCTAATGGCTCAACTGTTTTGTTTCCTGTTTCTCAACAAATCTGTAGATGCTCGGGATGTAGCTCTACAGTCGGCTCATTATTTGGGTTCAGTTCGCGGAAAATAAAATTGTTTTTTTTATTTCATAAAACTAAATTGAAGAATAAAAATGTCCTCACGAAGAGAGAGAATAAATGTATGGACTTGGATGATGCTGTTCAGTTGGCTGTTACCGTGTAAAACAGTATTGAGAGGCAGCATGAATGGAAACCATGACAAAAAGAAACAGATTTTCTTTAGGCAGCAAAATTGAGCTGAAGCCTTGAGGTTCTAGAGGAAATCAAGAGACATTGAATCTCCTGGTAAGTTTGGAAATTAATCTGAGCTGTCGCACCAAGTCGCTGCGTGTTGTCACGATTAATGTCATTGGGAGAAATTGACCATTGACTGCTTGTGGCCTAAAAACACAGGCAGAAAAAGCACGCCAGCACTCAAAGTGCTGTAAAAAATGTTCATCTACGCCATGCGTCTCATGAATTAGACTTGGTATCAACTAAGCCTAAATACATTAAATGACATTCCCTTGGAATTAGTGATCAATGTTGTGTTGAATATTTACCCTGTGCTGTTTTGCTGCTTTCAGCGGTTTATAAAAAATTGTAATGACAAAAGAAAGACGACAAGCTATTTATTGTGGATTAACTAGTTACTTCAGCTATGTCATAACTTGCTGTTTTTATGGCTTGGTTTCATTTTTGACTTTCTACCAATCACAGCAATGTCTGTTGAATTAGATCAGAATTTGGTGTCCATGGCAACGTCAAATGACTTCAGACTGGAGACCATGTTCGTCCAAATAAAACAATATCTGCCACTAAAATCTCCTGAAAAATAGCTAAATACTTTCAACAACTTTGGTTGAAAACCCAGATTTAATTGATACAGGGATACAACTGTACAACATGAAGTCCAAGAAAATATACTTCATTGTTGTGGTATTTATCTTTTGCCCTCCCAAAGGGGTCCCATCCTCAGAAGTCAGGTAAGCTTCAAGGACACTTGAACACAACAGGGTGTTGAGTGGTGGGAATTTGAATTTGGAGTGGTGGTTACTAAGTCAACCATGCAAAACCGGAAGATTATCACACTTGCCAGTGTACAGATGAGAGGGCACAGCTGGATTCTGGTGTGGTTGTATTAACACACTTAACTTCCAGTGTGATCAAGTTTATTCTTTAGCAGTTTAAAAGTAGAAATAAGCCGCAGGTTAAAGGTTATTTAAATTAGATTTGCCAATGTAGACACTTCATCTTGTATAGCCAAACATTGCACCACTTACACCCTTAATAAACGCCTATGGTGCATTTCAAGCATGATGGTTTAATGCATGATTTAACACCTGTGACCTCTAGGAACATCTCCCTCTGAAGTTGGGGCCTCTGCTCTTTTTAAAATAACAGCCAAATCTTTGTATGGAAACACTTCCTGTGGTGGTGTGGGGCAACCCCACCTTAGCTGCAGGCTGCAATGTTGTATTGTATACACTGTTTTGACTCATCGCTGGCTGAAGTGCCATTTTGAAGGCAGAGCTGTACCCTTTCAGTATGTGCTATTACAGGAGGCACAGATTTGTAATGCATCAATACAACAATCTGCTGTCCCCTGTTTATTTATAGCACTTACAGTAAATATCTTTGCATTTAGCTGTTTTATTATGTGTAGTCTCTCACTTGCTGTGCCGCTATAATTTGCGTTTTTTTGTTTTTCAAGAAGATTTTATATTAACTATAAAAGCACAATTATGTAAGAGCAGCCTGAGGTTTTCCAGCATTGCTGCTCTATTTATCACTGAGGTTTGCTTGATGTTTTTTTTTTTTTTTTTAAAGCATGCCAGCATTGAGTACTACTCAGTACTTCTTTTGTTGCATGTTTCAATCAGGCTGTAACCCAACCAGGAGGACAGCATAAGTCACTCTGTGTGAATGTTTAGTTAGGCCATAGGGAATAAACCACATTTGTCTCACATGATAAGGAAGCAGACATTCATGCATTGTCAGATGGGCAAGATAAGCTTTGCATTTAGCTCTGCAACATCTTGAAATATAGCTGCAAGCGCAATTCCGGTTTCCAACCTTTTATGGTAAACAGATGCAAGTAGTCCTAATGACCCATAATTAAAGCCAATTAAAAGCAAATTAGTCACTTCAGCTTGTTTAATTCTGTTTAAAGGAGGAGTGAGACTGATCCTTGATACTTGTTTCATCATTACAATGTATGCAGTGGAGAAAAAAGTAATTTCAGCTAAGATGTTCGTATAATGAATTATCTTAGATGAAATTTAAACCTACTTTTAGTTCTGTTTTATTTATATTTATTTTATAGTCAATATGTTCATGATTCATCCCACAAAATGTTATTACTAATGTACAACAGATTGTTTTTTTATTAAATATAATTAACAGCCAATGAGAGCTTTTCTTTGTCAGTCCTCTCTGGAGCTTTATCCAATCACCAACCTCCTCTTTGCTACCAATATGTGATAGGCCAAGCTCAAATGCACCAATAATTGCCCCCTCATAGTGCCCATCATAGCGCCACCATCATGTCTCTAGCTTGTTTTAGCTCACGGCAAATTGAGCGACAGGGTAAGACAACAAATGATAATAAAACAGCACAAACTCAATAGGGTTCTACACCTTTGGGGTTTGAACATATTATTAATACCATTTACAACATGAACTATTATAAAAGATTGATTTAGATTATTTGACTGTTCAACATAATTTCAGCATCATCAGGTTTTATGATGAGGAAACATTTCCCTTAAGTATTGAATGAGATTACAATGTTCTTGTATATTGTTGATCTGATTAAGAAAATCATGATGGTCAAACAGTATGCAGTAAAATCATTTCCAAACTACCACCAAGTCATTTTGGTTTTAATCCTGGTTACTCAATGTTATTTCAGCTGAGTTTATCCAGTCATGTATATAAAATGTTGTCTTTTAATGTCGTTTTTTTTTGGTTGACGTTGTTGTTGTTGTTTTTGCCATTAGGTGGGGGCCCGTCGTTCATCCTGGCGCGTCATCTCCAGCATCGAGCAGAAGACGGAGGGGAACGAGAAGAAACAGCAGATGGCACGCGATTACCGTGTGAAGATCGAGGCTGAACTCCAAGAAATCTGCCACGACGTGCTGGTATGGAGATGGATGGGAAAGGGCAGGCAGGGAGCGAGGGGGTGTGAAGATGAGGGAGGGAGAGAGAGAGAGAAATTGAAAGGACAAGATGGGTGGTGGTGATGATCGGTGGTAGGACTGGGAAGAGTGGGGACAGAAGGTACAAAGAAGGAGCAGAGGAGGAAGAGGGAAAGATGGTGGTCACATGGTGGTCACATGGTGTTACTCGTGGAGACAGTAATAATGTTGCTAGCAGCTGTTTAGTTGTCAAACAAAGCTTTAATTTTCCTGTTTTCTTCGGTATCTGTTTATTTTTTTATGTGTTTACTTGGTGCAGAGGCAAGAGGAGTTGACTGGAGAGGCTGCAGTGCGCCTCAAGTGAAGTTACCTACATTTTGTTTGTGTGTACGCAGAGGGGAGGAGGCGGACTGCCTGTATTTAGATTTTCAAAAAAGAAAAGACGGGTTGTTTTTAAATTAACCTGTTTTCTCTACTTATTTTTTGAAGTGGCCTCTACCAGCTGAGGCCTGAGCAGGTGTTCAGAGCTTAAATAGAGCTGTACAAAAAAAATGCACCGTGCTGTGTTAGTGTGGGCGTGTGACTACAGATGAGGGGTGAGAGGATGAAATATTATCCAGGAAGTCCAGTTTGAGTAATAAATCCATGAGGTTGAAGGCTTATCAGATGACGAAACACTTCTCAGTGGTTTATAACAGCATGGGAAGGGAGTTTACAGCACCTCCCTGTTACCACAGCAACAATGATTTTATTTTTCCGTTCTGGTGTAAACTGTAGAACTACTCCAAGTGCTGCACTACCACGGAGGTGTGTGCGTTCGATGGGTCTACGCACTGCGTCTGTGTTGCCGGGTGATTGTGGCGGATGTGCAGACGCACAACGGTTTGCTTGAAATCAACGAGAAAGCTGCCATTTCTGATAACGCGCTGCTGTTGGTCTCAAATCAGTGTGCACCAACCAAAGTGCCTGTCAGATGGTCACTTTGTCAGTTTCTCTGTATACCTTCAGTACCCTTGGCAAAAAAGCCTTAATCCTGAAACCCACCAGGGCGCCCCATTTGTTTTTTTTAACACAGTGCTATTTTTGGTCTAAATGCCCAGAAACCCTTTGTCTGGATTGGAAGTGACTCTTCAGTATTGTTTTAGTCATCTTTCAGGACAAAACCATGTTGCCTACCTCAGCTCCACACTGGTTAGCACTCTACCTTCATCACGTGTTCACTGCGACCTGAATCACTTGCCCATGATGCTTACTTACTTACAAACCCAAGTATGTTTGTTAGCTTGTGGATCTGGTCAGAAATTCAATCAGTGATAAAACAATCAGTGCGAATGCTGGTGGTCTTGCGTGTGCTGCTCCTGGAAGAAAAGGAAATGCAGTGAGGAGGAAGGAGAAAGGCAGTGACTTGCAGTTGAGAAGCAGGAACGAGGTTTTATAGAGTTTCAGGAACCCAAAATGTGATTTATCAATTATCTTTAAACAGTTTATGGTCAGTTACTCTAGTTAGGGATTATCGGCTAAACAATGAATGCAGTAAAGCTGAATAATTACATAATACAACCTGAAAGAAGTAAGCTCGACTGACTTGAAAGTGTCAGTCAGCTGCTAAAATTTGGATTTCAGTGTCTGTCAAAGTGTTGTAGAAAATATCTTCCTTCCTTTTGATGTGATTGAAGTGCCACATATAACCCTGACAATGCCAGGTCCTGACTAGGTTAGAACAGAAACTCAAGGTCAAACCAGACTCAAATTGTTCGTGCCTGAGCAGACTTCTAATAATATCTTCAAGGTCAAACTGGAAGCCTCTGCAGTGATGTGATGCTGTAGGAATGAAGGGAGGGAAGGACGGGTGGAGACATGCTGTCCTTAAAGCAGCAGGAAGCTTGGAAGGGGAGGGGCATCTTTGATGCAAAAATATGTCAGTAACTTTGACCTAGAAGTTACTACCAATTGGTTAGACTAATAGCAAAAACAAATTTTCCTTCCTGACATATTTATTTATTCCATTTTGAAACAGGGAGAAACTGTTTGTAGTTATTTTATTGTTGTGCAAGAGGAGCACTGTTTCATAAGACAGTTGAAAATAAAAACAGCACTACAGGATGACTTTTGCTGTTAAAATAATCATCGATGAACGTGGGAAGGTATTATTTAATAATGCATGTCATAGTTAACAACTGACCTGCTGTGTTGGTTGGCTGCTACAAACTGGAAAAACCAGAAAGGGTGCAGCACTGCTAGAAGGGCCCCACAGCCTGGTGCCGACTGCTGGATGGCAACGAGGGAACGAGAGCGGCGCTTCTGCTCGTCATCTTTTCGTTGAGCACAATGCAGTGGCTAACACGCCCACCGGCAGCAGACCTCTGACTGCCTAGTTTGTCATGCTGAGTGGGCACTGTAACAGTTGAAGGAGTAGGGATGGGTTAAAAAAAATGTCTGAATCAGTTTGGCAAAATGGATCAATGTCTTCAAGTAGGACAATCAATTTGGGAACTGTTAAAATAACCAGGCTGGGATCTGTTTTTGTCGGATATAGTGAATTAATATCCTGACAAATCAAGGTACTTCAACACATTAATGCTCTCTGAGCCACCACAGTATGACAGTTTATGAATGTGTATTGCCTCAATTTATATATCATCATATAACCCAAGGCAAGTGTTGATTATATATAATTATGTAAATTATTTCTGGGATTTGGACTGATTAGATTTTCACAATATTTTCCTTTTTGTGAACTACTGAACAGTTGTCACCTCGTAGGAACTAAATAAAATAACCTGAGAAGAGAAAATCACTCATCTCCTTCAGAAGTCCAGCTTTGGGGTCGTGTGTAGGCATTGCCTGTAATTCACTGAAATTACCCCATTTGTTTAATAATCTACAATTATCTGGTGAAACAAGGTGAACAAGCAGTTTGATTTCACACAAGCAGCTTCTTGTTTTTCTGCCGCTGTGCTGAAAGAGTTCATTTACAACTGATGACTCAGATGTTAGTCTTAATGGTTTAGTGTCGCCATGATATTCCCAGTCCAGGTTACTGGAGTCAGCAGATTAAACCAGTCTTCTCCATGGTAGAAAGGCCATGTAATCACTGACAGAAAGCTGGTCTCCAAGTTTTCACTTCCATCTGGCTCAGTCCCCCCCAGCCAGTAAATGAAATGTTCAAAGCACTTCAAAGAACAGCTGAACTGATTTTGAGCCTTGAGTTGATCACTGATTTTCAATTTATAATTTGTTTTACATCCACCATTTATCAGATTAAAGTTGCTTTTATACTGTTACTTTGAGACCCCTGGTGCTAATTTATTCTCGTGTGTGTGTGTGTGTGTGTGTCCGTGTGTGTGTCCGTGTGTGTGTCCTTTAGAGACTGCAGGAACAGTGTTACATCCTGAGCTTCTCTAGATATATTTAGGGCTGATGAACAGTAACGATAACCACTCTAAACAGCAGGGCTACGTCTATGTACTGGCCTTCCCACACACACACACACACACACACACACACCACACACACAGTGGGGTGGGCCTCTCGTAGGAGAGATGCTAGCGTAGCTGCAACACAGGTACCCACACAGTGACTCTGTAGGGACGTAGGGGCTGGGTGTTACTAGAAGTGCTTCGACCACATTTAAATCAAGAGTGTTTGTAGTTGTTCCAAACGGCCACACTGGAAGGAGGAGTGATAAGATGGCCGTCACAGAGAGGGGGGGAGGGGTGGCGACATTGTTTAAATACAAGGATAATGGCACACAAATTCAGTCTCTCCTGGAACACATTCATGATGAGACCCTGGCTCTTTTTTGGGGGCGGGGGGGTTTGGTCTCGGAAAGTTACAGAAAGGGCCGGGCCCAGTCCCCCTTAATCTGTTGTCGAAAAGATGTGTGTGTGTGGGGTTGGGGGGGGTGGGGGGGTTGGGTAGGGTAGGGGTTTCTAAAGCTATTGGACCATCCGACAAGCACTTCTGAAGAAGCGTACTGATAGCTTAAATGTGCTTTTAGTGACTGCCAAAAACTGGCTTTTCTCCGGAGACTCTTAAGCCCGTCAGTAGCTGCTCATGACTTGTTCTGACTACCAGCACTGCAGGCATACATGTCGCTAACCGTGCTAGTTGCGCTGTGTGGTTATGGGCAGTCACGGTCTCTCTTCTGTCCCCACACCCTCCACATCATCACACTCGTGCTCACTCGATTATACAAGAATAACTGAGGTGAAGAACTGGGCGGTTCCGCTTTAGTTGTGTTTGGCGGTGTTTGCATTCGTCACAGGTTTAGTTTCAGGCTGCAGTGCAGAGACATATGGGTAAAACCATCTGTAATCAAGTTGTCAGTGTATTTGTACATTGTCTTTGTGTTACTCTGCCAGTGCTGTACGGATACAGAATTTTCCGGCCTGTTTTATATTTATTTATAAACCCTTCTGGTTGTCTGTCTGTTTCAGAATCTGCTCGACAAATTCCTCATCCCCAACGCAACTCCGGCGGAGAGCAAGGTGTTCTACCTCAAAATGAAAGGAGACTACTTCAGATACCTGTCAGAGGTGGCCTCTGGGGACTCAAAGAAGGGTGAGTGTCTGGGTTTTAGCCATTAAATACATTCAAACGTTCTCTCATTGTTCTTTCACTCTAAATTGGGGGATTGGGGGAAGGAGGTTGTTATCCCCTTATTAAATAGCTATAGTTTCACTACTTATCAACTAGGATACTCTGTTCAAGTTGAGCTACAGTGCGGCCGCTCTGGAGCTCAGGGTCTTGCTAATGGACAATAAAGCACAGTGATGTTGACACAGGGGCTCAGAGTGTCCTGTTTTTTTATTTTTTTATTGCTCAAACACAAGTCAGTTGCTGTTTGCTGTGTTTCTCTGATTAGATATTCCTTTTTATTAACAGAACTTGGTAAACCTTTTTATTGCTTGCAGTAAAGAGTCTGTTTTATTGCTTAAGAGCTCAAAGCTCCCTTTTGAGTAGTGATCCACTGATACTACTATAGAGTGTGTAACAACTATCAGGGGTAGATGCTCAAATTCTCCATAAATGACAGAAATCAGGGGCACATTAAGGGTTGTTTCTTAAAACCACATGCTAGACTCAAGTAGGTTCATAAACCATCTGTAAATATTGTATTACATTTGAGGAAGTACTTTAATTACTGTGAACAAATAAGTTAATTACTGAGGAGATGGTCGCTCTCTGGAAGCCTCCATACCGCATTTTATTGCCATATGGCTTTAAGGCACAAATTGAGAGAAATTCAGCGTTTTGTTCGTAATTGTAGATGGTATAGAAATGAAAAACTGATTAGTCATATCAAGGTTTTACACGTCACTGACAACAAGACTGAGATTTGAAAATTACATTTGTCCCACCTTCAAAAGGTCATGTGATCAGATGGAGATTACCCACAACTGACCCAATCATCTGAGCGTACAGTTCTTTTGTCATCTATTTCCACCCTCATGCTAAAACTCCTGTTAATGGTGAGACACTCATTGAGACTGTTGCCAAGAGACGGGAACCCATAATGGTTTGTTGCCAAGGTAATCAATCATCTGACTCTGATTGTCATGGCAATCCTTGTTGTTGAATCCCGCCACAGAGGATGAATCCTTAGAACCTGATCTGTCGTCTATCGTTCTCAATGATCCAATGATATCTTTTTGCATCCAGCACCATCGTCCGGTCCAAATATCGTCCACATTTTGTCCAGCTCTGTCTGACCTGCAAAACAATTGACATTCCCATCAGCCTCAGCTGTACGTTGTTTAGTGCTAATCAGCATGTTAACACTCTAGACATCCTAATGTTAGTATGGATGCAGAATCTTGTTTGTTTCCCATATACCGGTTAGTGGAAGATGTGTCATTGAGACTGATGTTCATATTGTGTAGCAAATTAAGTGACTTGTTTTTTTTATTTGTGTTGTAAAGACACGGTGGCGTGCTCTCAGCAGGCCTACCAGGACGCCTTCGACATCAGCAAGAAGGACATGCAGCCAACACACCCCATCCGGCTGGGCCTGGCCCTCAACTTCTCCGTCTTCTACTACGAAATCCTCAACTCGCCCGAGCAGGCCTGCTCTCTGGCCAAGCAGGTGGCTGCATGAACACTTTGTTTAGAGCACTAGATTTAAATGTGTTATGGTAATACAGGTTACGGACAGGTGGCCCCTCCAAGACGGAGCAGACCGCCAGTTACCAGTCAACATGGTCTGTCAGTGTCTTCCCAGCTGCTGAGCTCCTGCTCCTGGCAGACCTGTAGTCCTCAGGCATCTGACAGCCATGTCCTGGACACAATTATCAGGAATCAAAGCCACGAGACTCAGAAGTCCCCAGAGATTTTTGTCCTATTTGTAAAAGACGTAGATGAAATGCACGCAGGCTGTCAGGATGCACTACCTCGACAGAACCGCTCGACTCATGTGGAGTAACAAAAAGTAAAACACGTCTGAAATGAAAGTTTAACCAGGAATCTAACGTGATCGAACAAGAGTTTGATCTTACAAAGCCACAAACCTAATCTGTGTGTGAATACTTTGTCAGAAGGATTAACAAGAGTGAACTCGTCTGTTCTTCCCTGCAGGCTTTCGATGAGGCGATCGCCGAGCTCGACACCTTGAACGAGGACTCGTACAAAGACAGCACGCTGATCATGCAGCTACTAAGGGACAACCTGACTGTGAGTTTATGCCAAAAAGGATCTGTGAATGTCCGTCTTTGCTGTGTTGAATCTTTAAAGGTGATGTACGCGTAAAAATGTTTATAAAACATGTTAGTGCTGTCCCTGTCTGACTCCTGCTGCTGTAGTTACGTCCAGCAGCTAGAACGAAGCGTAATCATAGAAACATGTTGAGGAATCAAACAGTTCCCGGTACCCGTTGAGCTTCGGCATCAGTCAGGACTTAAGGCTTCCTTCTAAGATTTTATTTTGACATGTGCAACCCTTACAAGGAGGCTGTCAGATCAACTTCTACAGCCATATTAGCAGAGAAATTGACCAGAATGCATTGCAGATGGAATGAGGATCATGGCCGCCAATAATTCCAAAACATATATCATGCTTTTGGGTGCTTTTATGCAAATACACTAAACTGAAATGTAGCGTGAAAGTGGAGTGAAATAAATGAAGATATGGCAGATAAAATGAAAATGGTCGCACCACAAAGCACCTGTTAGAGCGATGATGATGATGATACAGAGCAGTGCACGAGGATGTGGGTGGATTTTAACCTTCAAGTCTGGAAGATGTTCCAATACAATAACCTTCATTTAATACACGGGAGAGATTGTGGCCGTGGAGCCGATATCACGCTTCTGTTTTATGTTTAACTGCATATGATAAAAAATTTTGTGATTTCATTGTGTAGATTGAAATATGATACACTGTGTAATCGTATATAAACTATAGGATGAGCATGGTGATATCCCACAAAAAGTCTTACGTCTCTCAGTACGCACTCAGTCCCTACCTTACTTCCTGCCCATTGGTTCCTACTGAATCTTTAAACAAATGAAAAATAATGACTCCGCAATTTCCTCAAACAGCTTGCCACTGTAGATCTTAGAAAACGTTACTCAAACAGAAGGAAATAGTGGAGTCGTTGGGCACTATTTTCAGCAGCGGATTAATCCACATTTGGTGCTACAGCAGGAGTGTGTGTGTGTGTGATGGACAATACTCGTTAGTAGGATCATTGTTGGTTTTGGTCTCTTGGTGGTATTTTTGAATAATCCAGGTGATACAGAATACCACCTGAATGAATATGATCTACTTCCAGCGACAGGATGACTAAAGGTTGTTTTCCCTTTTTCTCCCCGCAGCTGTGGACATCAGAAAACCAGGGAGACGAGGGCGAAACCGGCGATGGAGAGAACTAGAGCGCACTTCACTGTTAACCCATCCCCACTCTCTCCCTCCTCCTTTTATCTCTCTTCCTCTTTCTTCTCTTCTTCCTCTCTTCGTACACATAAACAGCCCGTTCATTCCCTCGTCCCACTTTTTCAAGCCCAGCCTCTCGACTTCCCTTCTGTATAACCAACAGCATGAATAGTACCTGACCTTCACAGACGGATATTTAAAAAAATAAAAAAAAGGAGGGGGGGGAAAAAAAGAGAAACTACTACTCCATCAGCCCACCATCCCTCCGTCCCTCCTCCCACCCTCCCTCCCTTGATCATGGCACTCCAAGGCAGGCCAGCAGACTACAACCACTGGCCGGTCTAGTCTTATAGCACGCAGGGAGGGTTTTTACCCCAAAACCACAAATTAAATTAATGTGTTTTAGAGCCCACATTTCCCCCCCGTTTTTTTACCCTCCTCATTTAATCTTTCTCCTCCATTCCTTCCGTTCTTCCCTCACTCCTCTTCCCCTCCTTCCTAACATCTCAGTACGTTCTCTCCCTCCTCCCTCCTCTCTTTTAGCGAGTTAATGCATTATATAGTTGTCCATCCCTTCTCTTTTTGGCTTTTCTTAGTGTACTGGCAAATGGCTGGTTTTATTCCACTTTAAACAAAACAAGAAAAGGTTATTAAACTGTCCGTTTATTTTCAACAAACACTGTGATGCTTAGTTTTTCCTCCACCTTTTGCCACCAGATCCTCGTTTGACGGCAAAAAAAATAAATAAATTCAACCGGGAGGGGGTGTGTTTGAACAGCAGTGCAATTCTGCTGAGGTTTATACAGAAGGGTCCTCCTACAAGGCTGTATTGTGACACTGACAAATCTAAAAACGAAAGCGTTTTACCTGCTGCGTAAACAAACACTCGCCATTTTTTTAATTTTATTTGTATTATTTTCTAACCGGGACCCCGACTTTTATTTGACGCCATTCTGTATATTTCCAGTTCGGAGCTAAAACTGATTTGAAAAATTACCAACACAAAACTAAAACAAAAGCATACATTCCATCTTAGTGTTTGAGAAAATTTTGGACATTTTCACAACTAATGGGACCCGCCTGCTTCCTTGGATCCACCTCCTGTCAAGGTGCTGTTAACATCACCAACAAGCGGTCCCTAAACATTAATTCCTTAACATGTTCATTTCCCTTTTGCGATTGCTTTTCTCTTTTTTTCTCTCTGTGTGTATAACAAATCAAATCCTTCTTTCCGGTTTTTGAAAACTGTAAAATTGTAAAACATTTTTAGAGCTTAACTGTAAATCTGTCTTTTGGAAAAACAAAACGGTTTGTCGATGTTGTTCGTAAACACCTGCTTGCAATGAAAACCTTGAAGCCGTTACAGTCAGCTGTTGTTTTATGCTTTATGCATTTTTGACCAGATCATTTTTTGGTACTTTTTTTTTTTTCACTTCTTCTTATGCCCCCTTAACTGCTTGTACCAACAAGTCTAGAAAAGCCCTCTCGCTCCTGAAGCTCCTCGCCAACATCAAAATGCATGCCGTCATCTCTAACCATGTAAATCTACCGAAAGCATTGAGTGGGGAGTTACACACTTTTGTGGATCGACACTTAAAAACTTACTGCTTCCTGGCAGAGAGCCCAGGCATTGGTCCTGTGACCTGATTACCTGAGGTCGGATGGAACAGTGTCAGCTAACGGCCTTAAAGCTGAGTTGAGAATCATAGTTCATTCTTGACCCTTTTTAAAAACCTAAAATAAAGGTTTATTTACTAGCTTTTTCTGGAGCTTCAAACTCAAAGCTCCAGAGAAGAATAGTAATTGAATCTTGAGTTTGGACAAAAAGGTGCATCTTTTGAATAATAACCAGAAGAAAGGTGCAACTAAAGCTGAATTCATTCAAAATTAGGTGGGGAAACAAACGAATGAAGCAGTGATTTTATGTGTCACAGCTGGCGCAGTTCGAGTCCACAACAGGAACGTGCGTCGAAGGAGCCAAATCTCCCGGCAGCCGATCAGCCAATCATCTGTTTGTGGAAGCGAGAACCTGTCGTTTCGGATCGCGGTTAATGCTCATCTCTCCGACTGCATTCAGAAGAGAGAAAACACTCAGCAGTTAACGGTACATTTTCCGATCTGGTAGATTTACAATGTGTACATTTTTAACTGGCAAAAAATAAATAAAATCAGGTTCCTTGTGGTTTATCTTTAAGTGACGACGCCCTGGCCAATAGCAAGAATACTGTACGCGTTCAAAAGCGAAATCCAAAAACTAGTCTTTAGTCCCAAACTTTGAGAAATATCGACCGACCAGAATGCAGACCGCTGAGTCTCAGAAGACCCTCTTTTTCTTCAAAAGTAGAAACAGTTGAGTAAATTTTTTCTCCACTCAGTGTCACAATAACCTTGTCATTAACCATCTCGACATTCCACTCTGTAGGTGTAGAAAAGTCATGTGTCTCAATGTTTTTTTTTTTTTTCTTTTGCTGGGGACAAATGTTTTCATGCACTGAAGTTTAAAAGGTAAAAAAAAAAAAGTAATTATTCCTCCCTGCCGCTCTTTTTCTCGTTAGCTGAACAAAAAGGCAGTTATTCTACGCTTTATAAGGAAAAAAATGATCCCATGCAGTAGTGAATGTGGCACCGAGCCTGTCTGTATATCTGGTATCTCAAATCATTTTGTTTTTACTGACCAGTATTCTGCTTAAAATAAAAAGGAAAAAAAAATAACCCAAAAAAACAACAAAAAAAAAAAGTTTGCTTCTGTGACGGTTTTATTGCTTAGCGCGCACGTGGTTGTGAAAATTTAGACTTTAGCTTAAGGACACCAATAAAATGAGAAAATGACAAAAAAAAAGAAACACCCTTCAACACCTTCCCCCCACCCTGGTTATTGACGTAATACTAGATTTGTGTATGTCTTTTAAAAAAAAAAAAATCCAACTCTAGTTTCACCTTACATGTTATAAACAGGACAAAATGTAAAAGACAATTTAAAGTGAAATAAAGGTTTTATCAGTTCCGAATCAGCCCTGTTCTGTTTATTACCACCTGTAGCCTGTTAATGCCGCATGTTGTTTCTACTTTATCTCACATTGAGTTTCCTGATTGAAGGTGCATGACATGCAGGAAGTCTAAGCTTGTCTGGAAAGACCGGAAACCCGATGCAAGAAAGCTTAAAAGCACCGGAATAGGATATAAAACATGTTGCAGGTGTTGAAGTTTGGAGTTGTTTTTAAAGGTTAGGGGACAGCAATGCAAATTTTCAACCGGATAAAAGGCTGCTGTGTTCGCCTCGATAATCCAACTGTTGGACTATGCAAATACATCAAGGATGCAAATGTTTTATTCTCATTGGGTTTTTACAGAAGATAAAACTGCAGAATAAAAAGAACAGCTCTGGGGTCAATCTCAGTGGGTCAACGCTGCCCTGTAGCCCCCCCAGGAATGGAAATAAATCATACTGGGTTAAAGTTGGTGAGAGAGTGTACATGTTGACAGGAGAGGAGAACGGTTTTATTTGGTACGGACTCAATGAAATTCGAACTGGTTCCTCAGTGAAGAACTCAACTGGCGGTCTCTGCTGCGGGTGTCTGCATGCTTCAAGCTAAGAGTTTGTCAGATGGTCAAACATGCGTTTAACAATTTGTTACTTACTAAGGTGGGCGTGGTTGGCGGTACCACACGACTACTTCCATCACTTATTGTATGTATAATCAATTGCAACGTCTGTGAGGACATAATGTAAGCGTGAGCCACTTTACCCTATTTGAGTACTGCGTCTATCCTTTCTTGGTAAGTGCGTTTCCGATTCGCTTGTTAAAGGAGTCGAACCGCTGGACTGAATATTAGATATAATGTAAAAAGTGCGATGGCGACTTGGTAAATAAATCCTGACATACGTGAAGCATGTGACATCTCCAGTCTCCGCTCCGCAGTGTGGATGAGGAGACTGGAGCGCGGGCGAAGAACCATCCTTTATCCTCTTCGCTCGCCACGATTATTTCCTCATAAGTTAAGGTTTGGTTAACTTTCATTTCGAGAAAGGATTTAGAGGTTTGCTCTCAGCACAGAGAGCTGCATTTGGATTCTCCGCAATCATTTGTGTACTAGATATTAAGTAGAACTTCTAACACACCCGTTCATCAGATTCTCTGGGTTCAGTTAGCTGGTTTTTTTCTCACACCAAGGCTGACTGAAGGATTGTTTCTCAGATTGTTGTTTGGTGCGTACAATCGGACGAGGTTTAGATTTGTGTGAAGTCTTAATTTAGCCTTTGATTAGTCAATTAAGCATTTGTGCATCATCTGTGTGTGTAGAGGACAGGGTGGGAGAGTCTTAAAGATAAAAACTTCCCTTAAGTTTTGTTAGCTGCGTGGCTCAGACCTACATAAATAAGGTTGATTCCTTTCAGAACGCTGGGAGCTGTACAGTATGTATCGAAATCATTTTTTACGAAAAAAGACCCAACTTTTAACTTGTAATTGTGCCCTGTGCTGCTTTGGAAATGCTTCCCTCCTTTTGTTTGGATTGGACCGGACCTGGGAAAAGAGTCATGTCTGAGTGTGCTGCCAACACAAACATTACTTATCTTAATTTGGTAGTTACACTTTGGACTGGAGGTTGTCTGCATGTGCAGCTGAGGAGGTTAGAGCCAACATTTTAACAAAATAGTGAGATAGAATCTAAAATAACACAGTGAAGGTTTTCCTGGTGCGCTGTTGGGAAACAAAACATGGCAACCTTTCCGGCAGAGCTAGAGATTCCCGAAGTCTACATCCCCGGGAACAGTGGGAGGACTCGGGTCTCCATGAGTGCAGAAATGTCCTTAAAAAAAGACGCTTCATCTAAGTTGCTGTGGTGCTTCTTTTTACCGGTGTAAAAGTGTCAAACTATCCATCTCAATGTGCTTTTGGCAGACTTTGTATTTTTGGGTTGGGTTATGGAACTTATTTTGAGGGGGCATCGAGACGTTCTGTCTTGTTTTTTGTCTGTACAAGAGGGTGAGAACGGGCACAGTAACTTCCTGGAGTCTCTGGTTGGCTGGCAACTGCTCAGAGCCAAGAAATAGTCCGTCTTTATTTTTTACTCTTGTTTTTACACTTAAACAGGTTAGTTAGTGAGCTTTAGAGGCGTTGGTAATCAGGTGTAGTTCCCTTTAGACAGAACCGGGCTACCCGTTTAGCTGTGTTTTCAGACTTTAGGCTAAGTAAGCATCTGGCTGTAGCGTCACATTAACAGAACAGTCATGATCGGTATCGATCTTCTCTTCTGTCTCGCAGCCAGCAAGCGAATAAGTGTATTTCCCAAAATGAACAACATGTGCTTTAAAGAAAAAGAAAAGACATTGTTAATCTCTTATTTATTTGCAGTTAAAACAGAAGCAGGTTGACAAAAACACCACAAATGTGATAAAGAATCTCAGCCGTGTCGGGCTATGATCGCAGCGTGCAGCTTCTCGGCTTTACTATGCAAACATGAATAAGTGTAAATGTATTTCACAAACTCTTCTTGCATGATACGTAACTGGAGGTGCAATTTTCTTGTTCGTCTTAAACCAGAAACCGATGTTTTACATTGTTGCTGTACTGCAGAAACTAATCCAAAAAGCAGACAGAGGATGAAGACAGGCACTTCAGGCAAGATGGAGATTGCCAAGCTACAGCAGGATTACCGATCTCACTTGTTTCACAATAATACAATGAAATGGAAAAAAAACAGACAGTACTTTGTATATGGTGACCCGTTGAGGATTGGTTTGACATATTAGTCGTTCAAATGCAAAGGAAACAAACACAAATATAACTCTCAGTGGAGTGACAGATGTATAGCAGACATCTGAATTAAGGAAGGAAGGTAAGAACACATCATGTATCTAACAGGTTCTGGATTATTGGACGGCGCTGCGGTGAACAAACCTCACATACTGTACGTCTTTGTGGTCGAAGCAAAATATTCACGTCATATCGGAGTTATCGCCGCTACCAGTTTGATTAAATAGGGTTCACACCAAGATCCAAGTCGTCATTACAACTGGGAAATATGGACGCCCCATGTCAGCTAAAGTCTGACGTTAAACCCAAACTTAATCCACATCGTGCTATATTGCTGATTATATACTGAATCTTTCATGATAATCCCTTCCATTTATCCCATATGACGTGAACACTGCATGAATGGAAATATCAATCCACTGAGAAAGACATTCACACATACTCAAAGCCTCACGAAACCAAATGTAGGATAAATAAAACTACCTGAGTGTAGAACATTATGTGGAAAATGGCTGTTAATTTATAATTCAAATCCACAATAAGCCTTTACAATCACCAGTGTTCAGACAGGAAGTGGGCTTTGTTATAGGCTTTAAATTTATGGGTGGAGCTGCAATGATGAGACGTTTCACAAACAAAATCACCAGCATTTCTCATCACTTAAGTCATTTTTAAGCAAAAACCTCCAGCCCTCTCTGGTTCCAGCTTTCCTTTGTGTTATGTGATAATAAAATTGACACCTTGTGAATGAAATTTGAAAATTTTTGAAGTTTCCAGGATATTGTTATGAATATTTTATAAAGACAGTTAATCAAGTAAAATAAACAGTTAAATACTGTAAAACTTCAATTAAAAGCAGGGTCCCAATAAGACAGGTTACTCTACTAGCCTGGTTTCATCAGATAGACGGAGGTCTCAATTAGACGTCTGGTCTGGATTTTATAGAAATCCTTTGGATGCATAAAACCTCTTAAAGCCCACCTGCTTGAGCCGCTTAGATCGCCTACAGTTCAGTCGTTCAGTTCATTTTAGGTAAACCATGAGCACGAAAGCATCAAATGATTGACTGATGTTTATTTCCCCGTCTTTGCTGAGCGAGAGTTTTGTGCAAAAGGAAGTAAACGCCTCTCTGAAAGCCTGGACTATAATCTGAAGTTTTACAGCACTCGATAATGAAGGCAATTACTCACTGCAGCTCTAATGAGGAGCACTGCAATGAGAACATAGGTTGCTAAACATGATGGTACATCCTGTAGGACGAGGTGAATGGTAACTGATAGAGGCTGTGTACTGTGGTAGATTCATCCCACCCACTCCAACCTGGAACCTGAACAGACTGATTTCTGGGCTTTCTGATGTCTGTCAGAACATTTTGACGCCTCAAACTTAATCAGAGAATATAACTGAATCCTTTAAGTGTGAAACTGTCATGTGGTCTTACATGGACCAATGGGAGCTCATAAAAAGCTAGTAAGTGGACTTTGTGTTGAGATCATTTTGTCATACATACTAATGTCAAGGTCTGGGATGAGCTTCTGTGCTCTGCTGATTACCCTTTTACAACTGGTGATGGTAAAAGCTTATCCTCAGTTAGAATTTGTGTCTCAATAATTTCAGCTCTTTTAAATAACCATAAATACTCAGTGACACTAAAACTGGTGAAATACAAACATTCTTCCTGATACATCCTCAGTTCTCACCGACCAGAGCTGTGTTTTCCAGAAGCGTCCCGAGACCGAGCTCATGTTTGTTCCAGTGAGAGTAAACAGATCAAACACGTGTTCGGTGTGAGCGAGCTTTTGGGAAACACAGAGCCGGTCTTTGAATTAAAGCGGCTGAATCGTGTCACCGCTCGCCTGACATCAATGATTCGTCTTCCTCTCCCCTCCGTTCGCAGACAAGCGACAGATCCTCACCGCTGTCTCCAGAGTCCCTGATGTGTCATCACTTCTTCTTCTGTACCTCCTGCAGCAGCTTCAGGGCAGCCATGTTCTTTGGTTCCACTTTGAGCAGATTGTTGAGGTCGTCCACACAGGCTTTGATGTCCTGCAGGAATGACAATGAGAAATGAAGAGTTAAAAACTAAACAAGGATAAGGAGAGCGAACAGTAAATTTGACCATGTTAGACAATCAAGAAAGCGTAGAGATTCTCCTGAACTAAATCTCTCTCGTGGCATGATGTTACTAAGCAAACAGGTGGATCTGGATCAGGTTTTATTCTCCGAAGAAATTAAAAGCATGAAAAACAAAGGAATATTCACTCTTTAGCGCGCTGATGATGAATACTATCAGAAGAAAATAGGTAAAAAAAGGATCCCGTGTATTAACATGTGATCTGTATCTTCATTTGTTGTCCATCGATTAACAAGCATTCTTGTCTCGACCGAAATTGCAATCGAATCTCAACATGTCCATTAGGCGGGCAAAGCTGGTGGACGGGAAATTATTTGCTTTTAACTACATGTTTTCATACACATGATGGCTGCCTCACGTAGAACCGCTTCAGACTTTTGGTTGTGCACGTCCTTAGAAATGAACGCAATGCGAACATGTGATTAAACAGCAAGTATGTCTCCAGCTTTAGTCTGTTGTCATTGTGTCCATATTACAAAATACAATTCAACTCCACAACCTCCAAAATGACCATAAATGAAACAATATTTTTCATTTTCATGAAGGTAAGATTTATTACAGATAAACATGCCTGAGATGTGACAGCGATTGCAATGTGTTCATTAACAAGCCTGATCCAGATTACATATTCAGATAATTATGAATGTTAAAATCAAGTGGAAAAACATAGCAGAGTTTGGCTATCTGTGTCTATTGACTGTTGTGCTTTGAAGAAACATAATCCAGCACTAAGATCATGAACTAGTCGTGGCTCTTTTTCTCGCCATTTTTCACACAACTGAAACCTCCGTACACAGTCGACAGTTGCACTGTACGGAGCTGCGGGTGCCAAGCTAACCGTGTCCTCTCTGTGTGTGGAATATTAATGAGGAGCTGCTGCCAGGGGAAACATCCGCAATTATCAAGGCAGGAAATGCTTTTATTTTGTCTCCTGCCCTTTAAAACCTTCTGACACTTTGGAAACTCAACGTCTGATTACTGTGTGTGGGAAATCAGAAACTGAACTCTTACCTTGAGCTCCTTGTGAGCCTGAGCCCTCCTGTAGAAAGCCTTGATGTTGCTGCTGTCAATCATCAGAGCCTCGTCACAGTCTCTGACAGCGTCTTTGTACTGCTTCACTGACAGGTAACACAGCGCCCTGATCTCACAGACAGACAGACACACACACACCCCAGAGAATTAATGAAGGCAGTTCTCTGCAGACAGAAGTGAAGCCAATGTGAAAGTCTTAAACCTGCATTCTTTCTAATGGCCAGCAGGGGGCAGCTCTGTGGGCTGCAAATAAGAAGTCTGATAGTATTGAGTCTTATGTGGAAATGTATGCATGAAGCTCTGACCCACCGGTTGGTGTAGGTTGTGACCTCAGTGGGGTTGTGTTTGATGCTCTGGCTGTACTTCTCTATGGCCTTCTTGTGCTCTCCTTTCTTCACCAGGGCGTTTCCTTCTTCCTTCAGGATCTGGCCCTTCTTCATGTCTTTATCACTGGGAGCTGACGAGAGGAGAAGCAGAAGAGCGGAATTGGATGGGGGAGACAGGGAAGAAGTAAAAAGGGTCAGAGGGGCAGATTTATATCTGAATGAATTTGCTGACACACGAGGTATAAATGACATGATCACTAGTAGAGAACACAACAGAAAATATAAATCTTACTGGGTTTATTTGTCTGTGTGGTGCCGTTGTGTTGCGGTGTGGGGTTTGGTTGTTGTACAGCGTTGGCTGTAGTTTTCTGGGATAGTTTCTCTCTAACAGACAGAGGAACGGTGGGGATGGGAGGAAGCTTTTCTCTCCATGACAAACCGTCTGCCTCTGTGAGCGCCTTCGTCATCCTGAGAAACGATAAAACACACGGTGAAAAGAATGTGAAAGGGTCACCAAAACACCCGGTTTAGTCCTTTAAGTGCAGTGAAAGACACCTGGAAAAGATACATGATCCCTTTTTTCCCATTTAATTTTATTTGTATGGAACCATGTACGATATTAGTTAGGCTAATTTCATCTGCAGTCCCCTGGCAGGTGACTAACAGCAAATTACACACAGTAGTACATCACACACACAATGGGTGTCCTGTGTGCCTTCACTATCAGAAACTACAGTTTGAAGGATGATTAATGCTGCAACAAAACTATTTCAATAAACTGAATTAGTTTAAGTAAATGAATGAAACCAGTTCTTCACTGTTTAAACTCAGCCACACATTTTTACAAGCTAGATAAAAACCAGACCACCTATTAACGCTGTGTGTGATTAGAAAGTCCAACTATGTCAAAGTTATAGACGTGGATTCATGCTTGTTTTGCATGCCATCACCACTCAGCCAGTCTACAGAACAGGTACCTGTTGGTGCCGTCGTGAGCAGCTGCTATGTTGCAGTCGATCTGCAGAGCAGTCTTGTAGTCTACGTAGGCCAGCCTGTAACGCTCCAGAGCTTCGTAGGCAGCAGCGCGACGAAGCAGAGACTTGACATTGAACGGGAACAACTCCAGAGACCTGAGAGGAAATATGTTCAGTTAATAAGTTTGACATTTTGTTTACATTCTCATCCAGATGTGGGCTTGATCTCTAATCGGGGTGAAAAATGAACTCGAACCCAGGCTGATGCGGTAAGGACTCACCACACCGTCCAAAATGAACACCCGCCAACTGCGGGTAAAGTTTGGGTTTGACGGGAAAATAAATTGGGTTCACAAATAAGTTGGAATAACAGCATAGGGCTTGTATTGTGTTTTTTATGTGTACCGGCTGAGACTAATGTGACCCTCACTGTCCACCGTACATAAATCAAATCAGCTTACTACTATGTGGTGCTCTCTACATGTCTGTGTATGTTTTTGCCATAAGAAATGTGATAAATACACATTTATCTCACTGTTCTGATTGGATAGAAAAGGTCAGATTGTATGCATATGGTGATGAGTTCTTTTGTTCATTAAATTGCAACATATCACCTTACAGTATCACAACAGACTGAATCTTAAACCCCTGTAATGTGATATGTATGATATCACCCGATGCTTGCCAATACACAGTTTCTAGGAAATCTGAGCTACATTAGAGCATAAAAGTCGAGAAGAAAAACCCTGACCGATGAAAATGAGATTTAACTAAGACAATGTGAGATGTGGACACCAAACAACTAAACATACATTGGGACAACTGCAGAGACTCACTCCAAATAATATGGAATAAAATGATCAAAAAGTAAGATGGATATAAAAGTAAATGACAAATAAAAACACTTACATATTGCAGTCTTTCACACATTCTGCACAGTTGCCATCTTTCAGGTAGCTTGCTGCACGGTTCGAGTACAAAATGCCCAAATCCTCAGGGTTCTTTTTACCTTCAAAAGGAACGAAGACTGTTTAAGAGGAGCTTTTTCTCAGACTGGTAATGCAGTCTCAGTCAAA